ATATATTAAATATATTAGAAAACATAAATTGAAAGATTTAATTTTGTAATTGTATTTTAATTACAAAAAATTACCATGATTCTACTTAAATGTCAGTGATTTGTCATTGTTTAGAGTATAATAAAAATATATTATTCTATGCTAAAAAATATAAAATTAAGTACCATAAATCCTGTAATAGATGCCTGAGTTATTGGTCAGAGTATACTTAGCTCATGGATGATAAATCATGAAAATTGTTGACATACAACCAGCAATTCAATTTGATTTACCTGAAAATTGCAAAGGCCAATGTGGCTTGGTTGAGCCTTGTTTTTTTTCCCTCTCTCTTTTTTCCACCATTTTTCTTCCATAAACTTCATTTCCAGCCTTTGTTCTGTTGACCTCACTGTAATTGGTTGACCCAGTGGTCCGATGGGTCACTAGAGAAAAGGGGGTGACACCAGATTGGTCAAGGGGACTGACATTAGAGGAAAGAGGGAAAATCGTCATTCTTAGAGAGGAGCTGGGAAGGAGAAGACCTAGATGTCAGTGAGTATGGAAAGATTCCTGTGGAACAACAGACTCGAGGTGCATTTTTTTACCAGTCACCCCCTTTTGAACCTTTTCTTTTTCTTTCAAAAATCAGTTCTTCTAATTCTTATCAACCCCATCTTGATCTAGGGTCCTTTATTTTGTAAATTTAGTTAAGTTATAGTTAAGATAGATGTAAATTAGAATAAGTTCTTTGTTTTGTCAGCATGTGGGAATCAACTGGTTGTATTGTTATGGTTGATCTCAAGGATCTTTGTAATTTCCTAGTTTATAAGTGTGTATAATTGTTTATTTGTAAACTATCGGTATTAACTGTAAATAATAAACTTTTAATTTTATCAACACCAAGCGATTCTTCGGATTTTGTCATTTGCTCTTGGTTACACCAATAATATCAATGTAGCGTTCAGAAAGAACCCTCCAATATTCCCTACTGAAGAATAATGATTGTATCAAGGACCTTCTCTTGGGTGTTTACTCCTGGTCACCCACACCATCCTCAGATAGCAAATGGAATTCATTGATGCCACAACACACACCTGCTCAAACAATGTTTAAAAGAACATGTAACCTTAATAAAAAAGGGGCATTATGAGACTGCATTAGCCAGTCTGACCAAAGAATACCAAATCTAAACATAGACATATCCCAACTACTACATACAACCAGACTGCAATCATCTCTCATACACCTTGAGAAGCTAAAGATATATAATAGGGTTTTATAAGAAAAGTAAGACCATAAATTTCAAAGATAGCAATACCCTCTTTCTAGCATGGAGATCTCTATTTGATGTTCAACAATAAATACTAAATGTAACATTAACAACCAATCAAATGATGTTTCTTCCTTTAAATTATGATATTTGGTTCACCTACATCAGGGTTTTTCAACAGGGTCAGTATTGACTCCTTAGAGGTCAATGAAAGCTTGAGGGAGTCAATAAAACTTTGCAAATATAAAAAATTTATTTAAAAATATTAAAAATTTTAGTTTTTTCTCTCAAATAAATGTAGAAAGATGTCTTTTATAAATTATTTAGGAGACTTTTAGTAGTATAAAGATGATTAACTAATTATTAAAATATTCATTTTTTATCTTTTTATATTAATACTTTGATATTTTATGTTTTAATTTGAATTAATTTTTAAGTAATTAATATTTCAGTTGAGTGTGATTTTGAATTGGATTCGTGCGATATGGAAATGAAAGGCTGGGAAAGACGCAAAGGAAAAAATAACATTCCATCAAGAGATCATTCAACTAATACAAGTACAGGTAAAATATATTTAACAATTTCAATAGTTCTTAATAAAAATTGTTAAAATATTAAGAAACTGACATCAAATTGAAGCTTTAATAATGCATTAATTACAGGTCAGTATGCAGTGCTGACAAAAGAAGAAGGATGGATTACTAGTCCACTTTATGCTGCTAAAATGGCCAATCACTGTCTTCGTTTTTGGTATTTTCTTGAAGGCAAACGTACCGACATATTAGAAATTCTTAAACTAACTTTTAAGCCAAAAACTACAATTTCAATATGGAAAGAAACTGGAGATTCAAATTATTTGGGTGAATGGTTGTATAGTATGATCACTGTAAACATGAATGCTTCAGAAACTCAGGTGAAATTAATATTTTCAATTTTTAATTTCTTTGTAGTAAATATAAAATCAGATAGATTTTTATATGTTATTATAAATATGAAATAAAATGTAATGCAGAATACAATAGGTCAAAATAACAATAGTAACTATTCATTCTCAGTTACTATAATGTCAAACTTTTTATTTATTTATTTAAATGCTTTCAGAAACATCATCTATTACATATTTGACAGAAAACTCCTAAAAATAGAATGACAAATTATCTGAAAACATTTAAGTACAGTCGACCCCCTATAACACGGGTTCCTATAGTTCAGATTCCTATATCACGGCGAAAAAAATTGCGACAGTATTTGTACAAACATGCTAAAAAAACTCCTATAATTCGGTAAAACGTCATCTCCAACTCGTGTCGCGACAGGATTGCACAAACTGTTGAGTTTATACGAGCAGTGGGCCTACTAAAAACCATTTATTATTTAATTTCCATAAAAATTATATTTATATTAATGATGTCTCTAAAGTTCAGCGAATTTTTCGCAAAAAAAATAATTTATCAGGAAGCACGCGAGCGCCATTCAATGACAATCTCCACGACGAAAACAAGCTTAAGCAACGGNTTAAATTTGTCGACTGGAATTCCTTCGGATAACCGACCTTCAGATAAACGATGCTAAAATTTTAAAAAGTTTAAAGAAAATAACAATTATCTTACAAGGTTTACTCCAATTTACTTCAAATATTTGATATTCGGTTTTCAAATTTTCTAATCTTTCTTACCACAATCTGACACTGTTTGGATTTCTCAATTTCTACCAATAGCTAAAATATTTTGAAATTTTGTAGTATAATTTTTTCATTTTGTTGCCCACCAGAGTTAACTGTTGTATCCTAAGTATATTAATCTAAAATAGGATAATCTACATTAAGTGCTATCTTTCAGATATTCAGGCAGTTGCATCTGCCTAGTGACTTAGACTTGTTCCTGTCTAAACTTATTTGTTGGCAATTTGTACTTTTTTATTTATTCAAATTCAATATTTTTAATATATTTATATAAAGTATTTAAACGTAAATCAAACGTAAAAATTGTAAAAATTCATTTTAAAAATTTTTTTACAAATTTATGTAATTACTATCAATTTATCATTAATTTTACTAAATTTCTAGTATTTTTAAACTTTTATTTTTTTAGTTTTTAATGTTCTTAATAGAGATTCTTACCAATAACTATACATTGGCATATCCAGAATGTACTGTAGCTTATGTTGGAATTGATTTTTTTTTAATAACCAATGTTTCAATCTCTTATTTTTCTTTGCTTTTTTAATAGTCACTTTCAAAAAATGAAAGAAAGATCAGAGCATTGATTTGTAAAAGTTATCAATATCAATATATTGGGAACATTCCAATACACTGATATATTGGTATGGTTATGATATTTAGACTAAAAAAATAATTTAAAAACAGGAAAGATCAGATATCAAATTGGTATCAGTTCAGTTTTGTTACAGCTCTAGTTCTTACTATAGATTTAGTTTTATTATTATACTTTAGCAGGAATTAAAACCAATTTTTCTTCTTTAATTATTAATAAATCTGAATAATTAGTGCATTATATCTCTTTTCGAAACTTATTTTTGCTTCCTCTTAATTTACTTTTACATCTTTGTTAAAATCATCTGCTGAAAGTACTTTGTCTTTCATTTTTTAATATTTTATTTTTATTTTTCAGCTTTTTTATATTATTTCCTTCCATAATTTTATATATTGGAAATGACGATTTATATACTAATGTAATCTTAATGTAATTCTTCATTCTTCAATTAATAACTTGAATTAATATTATGCTTCTTGTCCCGTTATTATTAATTAATTATCCGAGCACTACAATTGAATATTTGAGATTAGAAAATAACAAATTGATTAAGCCTTGGTCTGTAATATATGTAATTAGAGAATAACAGATTAATAACAACCAAAAACACTGCACAAATAATGGGAATGTCTGGCCAATGACCTTGGATTGAAAGATTGGTTTAAAAATAATTTCTGTAAGGTTAACACTTACATAGCTATAGATTAAATGGCAGAAAATTAAAATTCTTTACATTTCCTGTAACTAAATGGTTAATGGAAAGTTGTCGATAGAAGATATGTGGATTTACAATTATCGATTACGTGCTTGTAATTTAGTGATCATAAAAGCTGAAGAGAGAGAGAGCT